TAACTATTTAAAAAATAGCTATAATTCTGTTATGATTGATTATTTGGCCTATAAAGTAATTTATAAATATATTTCCACTTTTTCTATAAACAATCTCTCTGGGAGACCAGATGACGAGATAATTGAATAAGTCGTTGTGAGTGTTATTCTCCCCGTTTCCTAATTTTTCCATAAACCCTGATACCAGTCAAAGGAAATCTTATCAGATATCTTAACTGGCTTTTTCTGACAACTCAATTGCATCAGACGTCAGTTTAATGTATTAGACCGAGAGCGACATAACTTTGCACCCCCCAACCAAGAGGAACTTGTCAGCGATAGATGGGAGATAGCCTGAAAGTCAAAATGTTTTTCAATTATTTTAAAGGAATAGATAAGTGGTGTGATAAACGTGATGATAAAACACCCAAATGGGAGAGCTACTCTTAATGTTTAAATGAAAAAATCGAAGATGACAAATGTGTTAAGTGGAAGTTTCAAAGTTATTTGGAAAGTCTTGAATTCTAGTTGTGATAGTGTAGAATTATTCAGCCTAATCAACTTCATCTGCTCCTTGTTTTCGAGATGCCAATCAAGTTTTCCGATACGCATCTAAGGTTGATGCAGTAGAACGAGAAATCTCTCATCATCCCACTTATTGAGCCTAATCGGGTATCGAAGTGACGTCGATCCGTCTGGCCGTCCGTTCGCTCGCCTTCACAGATAATAGCCCACGGACCGTTTGTTCAATTTAGTTCAAATTACGCAGATGCGAGTTGGTTGTTACCAGTTTCGCCACCAGGTGGCTAATTCGGGGAAAATAACATGGCAGGGTATTACACGCTTCCCTTAAACTTGAATATTCATCAGTTTTAGTGGTTCACTTTTCATATTCCCCTAATGTATCTGATAGTTATACAACTTAAAATATGTCCTGTAAAAGAAAATATTATCTGCCCAATACAAGAAAAATATATTTCATTTTTTGTGATTTTACAACATGGGGTCTATGGGGAATTTCCCTGACCTTGAAGTCACATTTTTAATTAAAGAAAGTTAAATTTTCAAAGTTGATAAACTTCTTTCAAAACCACATTTCTAGACGTAATTTTACATGTAGACTCCAAATATGACATCACTTTAACTGAATTCCGAACTTTTAATAGCGTATATCAAGATTATTTCTACTCGCATCTAGAGTATTGTAAAACATTTATACTTCACATGCAGCATAGACGCATTTGTTCTCATGGACTTATGATGTTATTTTCAAGTAACTATCTGTTTTAGCGATCAGGAATTGTATTGTAAAGATCGATTTGATTTTATGTCAGAAAGATAAAAAGGATCTCGTGTCCTGACACTTTTGAAATCGTTGAATTATAAAAAAGGATTACAGCAAAATAAGAATGTGGACTTTCTAGCCCGCCTTGTATAATAACTGCTATTCGATTTACCAGTTATGTTTCACGTAATGCTTCAAAGGTCGCCTGTAAAGTCTGAACAAACTTTTTAATGAGACTTGGGACAAATTCTCCATCGTATAGTTTTCAAATATTTTCCTGCAATTTTCGAAACAAATGATGTCACGGGGATACGCTTCGATGTCATTCAGTTTTTTCAAAATATTTTTCTTGAATGTTAGACGCTCAAAGCAATAATGTTGGCCTATTTCGACTTTGCTTCACTTCTGTAATGCGTTAATTCCTTGATTTTGAGTCAACCAATTTTCTTAATTTTTTCAAAACAAAATAATAATAAAGATACAATAAACAATATGTCATGCATTGATGTAACTTATTAATCAACAATAGTCTGTGCGTGACAAACAATATTTGATTTGAAATACGTGCCTAATAATTCGAACAAAAAGTCCTTTAAAATCAACTTTTTGAAACTAAATTGAAAAGTTTCACTCACCACATTGGGTAAGACTATAAGCCAAAGTGCTTTAAACTGTGTATAAGGTCTTAAGTATGCGATTTCTTAATGTTAAGTAATACTAGTACACCTCTTCTGTCGAATATAGATCACGTTCAAAACTTAAACAGTATCTATTGCAAGGTTGTCATCTTCAGCTTCTAAAGGACCATCCGTGTTAATTGAAAGGAAAAAGTCTGGTGTCATGACCCAACATTTGTGATTCATAGTCTTAGCTACAAGCCCTTGTGACCCTACCCCCACCCTTACACACATCCCCACTGTGTGAGATGTGTGTAGTCAAGTAGAGGGGGGTCACAGGGTCTTTTAGCTTGGCTATGTGATTCAATACAAAAACCGAAGCCATTAGCAGTCATACGATCGCTCTCGTCCTTTCTGCTAACGATTTTCTGTATGGATATGGTTTGATTTCCAAGTCAAAAATATCGAACCGTTGATCAATTTGGACCAAAACATATTTGCATGATCGATGCCTCTTTGCATTCTAATTTCGGGACATGACTTTGAAGTGACCCTACCAATTTTTAACAAAGTTTGATTTATGAAAACAATTGTACACGGTTTGAGCAAACCTTGTTTCAAATGACATTAAGATTCAAATCTCTGGTTCTTGCTCATATATTAGATTTACATTTAGAGTCAATGGACTTGTAATCTTCGAATTTGGAATGAATATAATGAAGTTCCGTCATCTCAAAAACTTGCATTAAGATAAGTGTGATTACATACTCTATCAGAGAACGAGGGCTTATTGCCAATGAGGATAATTTCTAAAAAGGATATACGATTAAATGTTAATTATTGCGATTGTGGTTAACGTTCAGAAACGTGAATTGATTGAGTACGGTATCGGAAGTTTTAGCTTCCGTATTTTCTCTTTTAACTTGACCGATATCGTTACAGAAGCAGAAATGCATAATTTTAATATCTCTGGAATGGAAACTTCATGTCCTGTCAGTATGTTATGGCAATCAATCATGACTTTCTAAGATAAATGCCATTATATTCTCAGAGAAAGTAAAGAATGTCACCTTGTAATCATAATGGATAGAAATCTAATGAAAATTAGCTCATAGTTTGTGAATAATGAATCGGCACTTTCTGCTTACTGAATATTGTATCACAGAACCTGTATTTGGTACATCATTCTTTAATTTCCATTGTTAAACGAAACTAGGAAAGCTTGAAGACATCACATCATGGACCGAACAATTAAAAACACCACGCGTGAAACCATGGATGTATTTTTAAAAGAATGTTCTCATATTTTTACAGGTCGCTTCTTTTAATGATTCAGTCTTACTAATCCTGGATTTAAGTCATAGTCGTATATTGATTGATTGTGAAGTACTAAATACAAACTTTACCTTTCTTGTTCAGCACATATTTATAATCCGTATTCCACACTAATTACGTACCTATAGCCATGTTCAGGGATTCTCTACAATTTATTATCTCCGTAGACGTCAGTTTTGATCTTGATTGGTAGTGCATATGGTGATGATACGTTTGATTCATAAAAAACTAGGTCTTGGCCTCTTATAATGATGCGTTAATTGACGCTTACTGACCTACTGACACAAATAATGGATGACTATAATTCATTTTTATACACTTCATTAAGCAAGAGGAGCTAGTTGATGAAATGTGAAATGTGATGATCAATTAAGCACAAGTGCCATAATAGGGGTAAATACCAAAAAGTGAGAAGTAAGTACACAGACATAAAAGGAGTACAGTGAATCAAATATCCAGCACCCGAATGAGACACGTAGTCTTGCTTGAAAACCCTGACACCCCCCCCCCCTTATCTACTTCAACAACAGTGGTTGAAGCCGAGAAGGAATTTTGAATTAAGACTTTGAAACATGTTTCACGTTTTCAATCCAACAAGAACATCTACGCACTCTGCATTGCATCCTTGCTTTAACTTGTAACGATTACGACACAGATCAGATCGTCTATTTTCAATGTAAGGGGACATCTTGCCATCCGTGTTCCCTTAGAGACACCGTGTAATTTATTTTCCTTAGATTAGTATTTATGACTTCACAGTTGTCAATTTATTTTTAACTTCATACTTAAGCCTTTAATAAATTCTCGACCCTGTGATTTCATAACCTTATTAGCGAGGACCTCACTTGTCACTTCACGCTTATGAGTAGTCAGAGATGTTCTCTTGTCACATTATATGTGTCTAGCTCTCTCACGTCCCTTAAAGGATTTGTATCTATCTTCACTCTTATTGATTTTTCCAATAGGGTAAACATGAATGATAAGACAGAAGAAATAATTAATAACAAGATATTCTTTATGGGGTCAATTAAGTGGAACGAATGACCATTGAAAGTAGTGAATGTACATATTGACATTTTTGCACAAATGCAAATGACATAGCCAAATGCACACACGGGTAAAACAAGTTCATCGATGTATAAGAAAACACTTGAACAAATCGAAAATATGATATGTATTTCATTTAATTTGTTGGATTCATGTTTGAATGGCGTTGTTACCATAGTAACAAGCATAGTACGATAACAGCTTGAGTTGGGTAGGATTTAAAAACCATGTGTCAGACTATAGGAACTCGAATAAATGAAGATAAAAAATAGTTTATAAAATATAATTTGGTTTATAGATATGCATACAGCAATCAAGACTGTACGATCAGTAGCATGAGTAAGTTAAAGCAAATTAAAATATAAAAAGTGAATAATGAATGATCGGTAATGCTACACCACTGACATGAATTACCGCTATACAATACAAGAACACTGTCTATAAAGGATGTTCCGTGTTTACAACTATATAAACATAAATGCGGTAATATTTTATGTGGATTGCAAATATATTTGACTTAAATAAAGACAGTACACACTTTCTCTGTACAGGATTTCGACCTACAGCTGTTAAAAAGGTAGTTAATATATCGGGTCTGATTGAATGAATTGATCTGGGATATTGAGCATCCAGTTAATCGATCACAAAAGGACGAGAACACAGATTGAACAAGGGTATATATTTTGTATGCAGTATGGTTTGTGTACCTATACAAACTTTTGACAACATAACTGATTCTGGCCCATATACTGTATGTTCAATTCTTGACATACAATATAAACGAGGGATTCAATACGCTCGGGGCTTTAAATAGAGAGAAAGTACCAGTTGTTCAAACAAACAGTCCGCTACATTCGGACGACGACGAGGAAAATCTTGAGTATTTAGGAGTTATAAATTTTACATAATGGATACATGATGATGAATTGATGAAGCATTGGAATAGGAAATAGCGAAACTACACTAATGGAAAGAAACAGGAGTCGATATAGCGATATCAGATAATAATATAATCAGGAAATACAAATATGATTTCGATATCGTAAATACGATCATTTTCGGATGGCGTGAATATAATAAAAACGTGGAGTAATCATGATTTCTATAAGCCGTTTATGGATTAAGTCAGGAGAGACAGTCGATGGAAGATAGAGATAATCTCTTGAAGATAAAGCTTTTGCATTAGGCACCGTTTGACTATTGAATTAGCAACGGAAATAATCCCGTACTAAATTGTTACTTTCTTCATATATCGCTTCCGCAAGTAATACAGACGCTGATTTGCATTGATTTCATAAGTAACCATCATGAAAGTTTATGATCCTTGCCATTATCATGCACTACGTGATTAAGTTAATATAGCTCGACATACAACTACCCCGGTAGCCTTACAAACAAGTAAAGCGCTAAGCACACATTCCGCTATTGAAGTCCGTTTAGACAAATCTAAAGTTTGTATACCTGTACACCTCTCGAGGAAAAATCAAAATGGAGTTTTTGGAGTGTCATAACGTGATTCAAATGCTGTTGTGGCTTTGTATATTTGGACTAGGGTACACACAGGATATTAATGGGAATAATGAACAACCCCTGTGTCAGATTAAATTAGGAATTATTCTACCGTATAAAGGAAACCATTTATGGACACGACCTAAGACAGAACCAGCAATTCAATATGCGATTGAAGGAATACAAAATCGCACAGATCTATCAGCATTGGACCATTGTGAATATATTCTGAACTGGGGAGACTCGAACTGTTCAGAAATACTCGGACCACTTGTTGCTATCGATATGTATTATAAAAATATGGCCAACGTCTTCGTTGGACCGGCCTGTGACTATGCAGTGGCCCCAATCTCCAGATTCTCGCCATTTTGGAATATACCAATCATTACCGGGGGAGCATTGGTGGAGGCCTTCAGTCAGAAGAAAACCAAATATAAACTTTTAACTCGAGTGTCAGGCTCATACGAAAAACTAGCACAGTCATTAATAGATCTATTTGACAAGTACCAGTGGTCCAATGTCTCTTTAATATACCATGACAATCTTGGGGAGAATGCAAAACTGAAGGGAAAGTCATCATGTTTCTTTACATTACAAGGAGTTTTCCGTGAATTAAGGGTAAACTACATTGTCGAACCATACTCAAAACACTTCGACGAGACAGATAACACCACCGACTTCAAGAAAATATTGTCTGAAGCATCCGAAAGGAGCCGAAGTAAGAATTAATTAGTAGTAGGTAATTTATAAGTAGTATGTATTATCTTATCTGGAGTAACAACATATTTCCACTTGTATATGCGATAACTGATAATTATACCACTTCCATACGTTCAATATCGTTAAGGGCCACTTATTTGCAACACTGCTTATTGATTCAACTCGTATTATAATCGATGTTTATTTTTGTTGACAACTAAATTAATTAATTGTACGTCGATGGGGAATCCAATTGAACAAGTGTGTCTAGTGAGTTCCCAATGCTCCCATTCCAATGCATTGTGCATACTCGATACCTGCAGATGAATACTGCATTCAAGAATCTAACGAATCTAGGGATCAATTGAGAAATGGCACAATCCCAATTTTAAAGAAATCGGAATTCATTTACAGAAGTATAGACTCCTTATTTCATAGGAATTCGTTATAGCTTGAATGTATTGACAATACAAAATCGAAATTTCATAGGAGTTTGAATCCATCCCCGAATTCATAATAGTTTGAATGCATTTATCAGTAGAAAATCGAAGTTCATTGAAATCTGAATGCATTTCAGACCTGTTTTAATTTGACATGATTTTGCAGCCTGCTAAAATTTTGAGCGAAACCAAACACCCACTGCATTAAAGAAAAAAAGAATATAACAATTTATGTTATTCAAATATAGCTCGTAGATCTCACCACCGTTTACTGTCTGTTTTGTGTTAACAATAAACACAAACTTATAATTCTGTGTTGAAAAGATTTACTATGCTTGTTGAACAATGTCCATACAGATTGCCCCATTTGATTTCTATTTGTACAAAGCTTATTCCCTCTTTTGCTTCTTAAACTCTTATGAATGTATATCGATGGGACCAAAACAAATATTCTGGCTTTCGCTGATCTGCCTTTTCATTCTCCATGTATACATTTCACTTTACCTTGCCTATGTATGTGAGGAAATTAGTTAAAGTAGAATTTCACTGAGTTTGCAATTAGAATGCTGCATCTCGTAGGATTGCCACTACCAGCAACTACTGTATTTTTGATACCAAGGTTCTAGCAAACTTCAGTAAGCTATCTGGCAAATTAATAGTACAATCGATTTAGATTGTATTGTAATTAACAAGGCTACAATGCTGTTAATTCTGTTAAAAGTGTCAATTAACATTGAAATGTTTCTAAACATACAGTTATTAAATTCAAAATGGCTTTGTAGTAACTGCAGTTGTACGATTGTTTATATGTACAAGTCCTGAATCTACCAGAATCAACACTTTTAATCTAAATTTAGAACAGTATACAGTACTAGAAAAAAAACTCGATACAGAGTTCTGCAGTTCTTTCTTGAAGGATGTTAACCTCAACGTTAACGTATGGCATCGAACACGATTAAGTTTAACCCATGCCCAATATGTGCTTGTTCATAACTAATGAGTATCATAGTTGAGAATGCAGTGATATAGCCATTGTCGGCATTTGGCGTCGGCGTTCTACGTCCGCAACTAATTCTTACAATTTTGTAGGCATTTGCATAAACGATATGCAACCAGATCGCAACATTTTGTTTTGTTTTGCTAAAATGCTTTGTCTATCAGTGATACATTCGATAATCCTCTAGGGGTACAATGAAAAAATGAAATTGGAATGCGAAATGCAAAGGATGATGATCCTCAAATACTTGGCATCACGTATTAATGTTCAGCCAGTAAAGCGGCATGTGTTATATTATACCAAGTTTAATGGTTCAATCCGCGTTCAAGAACTTTGTATGTCCACCCTGGCTAATACAAGAATCAATGTCAAGTCCGTGAATCTACTTGTGTTATACCAAGTACAATGGTTAAAACCTTAGCGTTGCGTTCGCGAACTTTGTGTGTCCTCCCTGGCTAATACAAAAATCAATGTCAAGTCCGTGAATCTACTTGTATTAATACAATGGTTAAAACTTAAGCATTGCGTTCATGGACTTTGTATGTCCTTCCAGGCTAATACAAGAATCAATGTCAATTCCGTGAATCTACTTGTGTTATACCAAGTACAATGGTTAAAACGTTAGCATTACGTTCATGGATTTTGTATTTCCTCCCTGGTTAATATAAGAATCAATGTCAAGTCCGTGAATCTACTTGTGTTATACCTAGTACAATGGTTAAAACCTTAGCGTTGCGTTCACGAACTTTGTGTGTCGTCCCAGGCTAATATAAGAATCAATGTCAATTCCGTGAATCTACTCGTGTTATACCAAGTATAATGGTTCAAACCGCGTTCAAGAACTTTGTATGTCCTCCCTGGCTAATACAAGAATCATTGTCAAGTACGTGAATCTACTTGTACCAAGTACAATGGTTAAAACCTTAGCGTTGCGTTCGCGAACTTTGTGTGTCCTCCCTGGCTAATACGAGAATCAATGTCAAGTCCGTGAATCTACTTGTATTAATACAATGGTTAAAACTTTAGCATTGCGTTCATGGACTTTGTATGTCATTCCAGGCAAATATAAGAATCAATGTCAATTCCGTGAATCTACTTGTGTTATGCTAAGTACACTAGTTAAAACCTTAGCGTTGCGTTCACGAACTTTGTATGTCCTTCCTGGCTAATACAAGAATCATTGTCAAGTCCGTGAATCTACTTGTGTTATACGTAGTACAATGGTTAAAACCTTAGCGTTGCGTTCACGAACTTTTGTATGTCCTTCCTGGCTAATACAAGAATTATTGTCAAGTCCGTGAATCTACTTGTGTTATACCAAGTACAATGGTTAAAACCTTAGCGTTGCGTTCACGGACTTTGTATGTCCTCCCAGGCTAATATAAGAATCATTGTCAAGTCCATGAATCTACTTGTGTTATACCAAGTACAATGGTTAAAACATTACATTGCGTTCATGGACTTTGTATTTCCTCCCTGGCTAATACAAGAATCATTGTCAAGTCCATGAATCTACTTGTGTTATACCAAGTACAATGGTTAAAACATTAACATTGCGTTCATGGACTTTGTATTTCCTCCCTGGCTAATACAAGAATCAATGTCAAGTCCGTGAATCTACTTGTGTTTATTATACCTATAACAATGTGTACAATTTAGTATTGCGTTCAGGAACTGTGTATATCCTCCCTAGCTTTATACAGTATTAATGTCAAGTCACTGAATCTATATGTGTTATGTTATTTCAAATACGATGTTATAAACTATTAACTTTATAGTAGCGGTTGATCTTGATCTTTGTATGTCATCGTTAGCTATAATACAAGTGTTAATGTCAAGTCCGTGGATCTATAGGCTTACGTATTATTATAATATGCCAAATGTAAAACTATAAACTTTGAACTTTATTGTAGCCTTCTTGTTCTTTGTATTACCTCCTTAGCTACAAATGGTTAGTCTTGACCTATTTTTACTATTTGACCTTCATAACCCTTGCAAAGAGGTTTTTGTAATATGTGAAAAAAATTAAGCACGTAACTCAGTGCATTGTGGATTATTTAATCAACTCATGTCTTGTTTGCTGCATTACTCATTCAAAGGTCTGGAAACAAGACAAACGTTGTTAAATCATAATACAATTCATTGTGTCCGAGGCTTAAATCCTTCAAACAATCGTGTCTAGTAAAAAAGCGTGGTCAATGAACTTTTTATATCGCCGCTAATAGTATTGTTAATGTTCAGTGCGAGAATCAAAGCAACATCACAGTAAAACATCTGAAGATCAAAGTAATGAAACCAACAACCATCCAGTTGATGTGTTGCTTATTTATAGTGCCCTTGTGGAGGCAATCAGTTTTATTTTACCCCAAATCAAAGTATCGCTAGCGAAGTGTCTTTAATAAGCCTCGCAAAGATCTAAGACGTCGTCGAACTTTTCTTTGCTGTAAATTGCGCATTTAACTAGAGATGAACATTGTATACATTGCTTGTTAATAAGTTTAATATTTTGTCCCGTAATTAAGGTGAATGTATCACTGTGAATATCGAAGTTTTGATTAATGAACCTGGAAAGAGGATTAGGCGCTTTCACTTTTTCTCGTCAAATTATGAAATTTCTTACCGAGATGAATGGCTAAATGTATCATATCTGAGTTAAGAAAAACAAATGATGAACATCATATTTCACCACTCCGATGCATCATACGGTTTACTGCTTAAAGGTAATGAAAGTGGCATGGAATGATGGAAAAAGTCAGTTTATGTGCCCTATGTTTACTCATTGCGAACTATGAATATGGTTCAGGTTATACACAACTTTTCGACGCTCATTGCACCAGAAGTTCTTAAGGTTAAGTTGCGAATGCACCATATTATTCATAAGGGAGCAGTGCATTTAAATTTACGTTTCGAGATAACTGCACCAATGTTGCTGAGTGACAAGACGAATGCTATAATATTTTATTTGCCGGTTAATGCACCAATGGGCAAAGTGATCTTCTTGCTACATGTATATTCTACAACGATACTCGAAAGTAATATTAGCTTATGATATATTTTGCGGCAAATTGATCAACCTATCAAAGTGATTATTTGCGCATATTGTATTTAACTGCAAATGCAGCAATAGACTAAACTGAAATTCTATCAATATACTAGCAGCCAATGCACCAATCAAAGTGATCATTCCCCATTATTCCATTTGACGTTCAATGTACAGATAAATAAATTTAAATTCTGTCAATATTCTAGCAGTCAATGGACCAATCAAAGTGATCATTCGCCATTATTCCATTTGACGTCCAATGTAGCGATAGACTAAACTGAAATTCTTTCAATATACTAGCAGTCAATGGACCAATCAAAGTGATCATTCGCCATTATTATTTGACGTTCAATGTACCGATTAAACTGAAATTCTTTCAATATACTAGCAGCCAATGCACCAATCAAAGTGATCATTCGCCATTATTCCATTTGACGTTCAATGTACCGATAGACCAAACTGAAATTCTTTCAATATACTAGCAGCCAACGCACCAATCAAAGTGATCATTTCCCATTATTCCATTTGACGTTCAATGA